TTAGTTTAGAAGGATTTTGATATTATATGAATATTTTTGAATATTTTGTATTTTTGAAATTAACGATTTTTATGTTACTACTGTAACAGTATATTAATTATCAGTGGTTTGCATATGATTTGAGTAACCGTATTAAAATCCGCGTTTTTCTCTACATTATAATTTTCGTACTTCCATACGTCATTATTTTATATAAAGATCCCTGTTTTCAATAATTCATCTTTTATTGTCAAGAGAATCATTCGTCCCTTTGTTTGGTGTGTGGGAGTTATTTCTTTAGGTTTGCGAGGTCTCGATGTTCTTCAAATGAGATTTGTATCCCATCACCGGTTCTCTCTTCCTCCATTCTTCTTGGTTTTTCATTCGTGTATGTATGATATATGTCACAATTATATTGTTATCGTTAAGGATAAATGTAGGTTTTGTTTCCAGATTAGTCTCCTCTCTGGCTTCACGTATGCAGGCTTCTCCGGAACTCCAATCGCTTTTCTCAGTCCTCCCCCGGTGTTTGCCAAAGAAAAGGCATCACTTTCGTTGTTGTTCCGTTTCGTTATTCTGGCAAGAGGTGAGGTTTTTATTTATTTTAGGTTTGATACATTCAGCTCCTTTAAGACCAACTTCTCATAATAGATGTGATGATGCTATATCAACAATCACTACAACCTCAACATCAAGAATAACGCAAACCACCTCAGAAAGACGAAAAAATCGCGAGAATTTTAATCGACCAATCATTTTCAGATTCCAAATATTTAGGATAAATTTATTAAGCTTAAAAAAAGATGGCAAGGAAAAATTAAAAGATATAAAAGATGAAGAAGCATTATAAGGAAAGATGAGCGAAATAAAAGCGTGAAAGGATAGTATTGATTACTTTAAAAAAGAATTAGCCCAAGAGACTAACAAAAGCAGCCACTCAGCGTGCGATTTTGTTTACTACGCTTAGATATCACGTTCAAGTAAATTTGATCAACAACACTGATGTTATCGTTATGAAACAATTTAATGACTAGACCTGCTCCTTTCTACCCGCGCATCATTAGTTTTGTGAATGGAATTCAAATCGAGTGCCGTTTTGAAAATTTGCTCTTGATTTGTGTGATATTTGACGAAAAAAAACCATTTGAAGGAATCTAACAATTTTAACGTATGACACGACGAAGACGTTGACAATATGTTTGGATGTTTGTAAATAGTTAATTGATTTGAAATCTTTGGATTGTTCATACAGCAAATTTCTACTTGCTGATTTTACGTATTTGGTTCAATGATACGTATTCAGGATGTTTATGCAAACAACAATCAAAGTGATAGCATTATTTCCTAACTAAGCCGAAAAAACCACCCGCACAAACTTTCTTTCCCAGTGTATAATTAGCTTTTTATGTGATTTTAATATTTTATTTAATTAAAAATATATGTAACTAAATAAAAAATATGTAAATAAATAAAAATATATGTAAAAATACATGTATATGTAAAAATGCTTGTAGTAATATACGTAGTAGAATAATAAAATTAATTTCTAAATGTCTAATTATTATATGGTTTTATTGATTCTTGATAAGAAGGCGGAGCTTCCATCATATAAGTTTCTGTCTCTTCATTGGATAAAGTTTCTCCGTAGTTTGGCAATTGTTGGGTTATGGTATTGGAGTTTAAATTGTTGCTTTGAATTTGTGGTTTTTGAATATTTGCGGATGATTTTTGTGGTAATTGCTGTTGTGGTAATGGTTGTGGTAATGATTGTTGCTGTGGTTGTGCCTTTTCAGTAGTTGATTGACCAGAGAAAGAATCAGCAATGAATTTAACAATTGTTTTAAAGACAACATGTTTATAATGATGACGAGTTACACGACGCTGGCAACGACGTTGGCATCTTGACATTCCGTTAGAAAGTCTACACATTTTTTATTTAATCTGTGGTAATATTATTTGATTTGTAGGATATTTTATTTCGAACTGCGTTATGAATTTTTAAATTTGTTTATCGTTATTGAAATAGGCATCGATGTTGTATATTTATACATTTTGAGCCAAGAGCAAATGACGATTATCTTGGCATCCAAATGGAAATTCGATTTCCATTGCCAAGTTCGCTGCATATGATCAATTACTATATATGGGCCTATATTTGGAATCCTGATTAAGCTGATATGCAATGTTAGCCAATAAAAGTGAAGATGGGTTTCATAGAGGATGCATCTATGTACAATATAAAATCTCGATATGGTTAGTGTACATCCGAAATATTGTTAAAGGTTGATTTTAAGGTTAAAGGTTGACTTTAAACTTAGGCTAGGATTAGAGCTGAGGTCAAATCATATGTAAAATTGTCTCCCTGACATTTTTATTTAATGCTCCAAGCTAGATTTAAGCATCTGTTTCCTGTGTTTTTTCATTTTTATCTTCTTGTATCGGATTTGCTTTGCCGTGTTGATAAAAATTACGCATTCTTATTGGTTGCAGATCATTAAAAATGTAAGAATGCTTGTTTCAAAGAATTCTCCCTACGACGAATTTCTTTTTTCTAAACGAGTACGTAATTAGCCGAATGTTTTCTAGAAACAATCAATTTTAAAAAGCTTTATGATTTAAATTAGCGAATAATAGAGCGACCCTTACAATTGCAATGGTAAGAAAAATATGTACATATGTACTCTAAATGACTTGGCAAATCATTTTAGAAGAAAAAATGGAAATAGTTGAGACATGAATTTCCGCGCCGTATTTTGGAAAAAATATATGACGATAGATGGAACAAAAATATATGATTTAAATTAGCAATATAATAGACTCCCGCAGTAGTCACATCCACGACTTTAGATAGGAAGAAGTTTGTCTGATTGGCTAATGTAAATCAATTGCCTGGGTAACTAATTTATACGTTTTCAAGTTGTAGGCTCCTCACGTCACAATATGTGTAACCTTAGAATTATTGTCCAGATGCATCGGTCCCAGTTTATGAACCGGGGCCACATTAGTTTGATAAATGAATTTCCTGATTAGTTAAGCAAATCGGACCTATGGTCAGGTCCGAAACCAATTAAAATTCAGATAGCATGTAATAAATCAAATGACAAAACCGAAAACCGTAAATAACGCAAAATTTTATTATGACATCTAGCCTCCGACCTCTAAGCAAAAAATTTCAGCATAAAATTTTAGTTATATATGTAGTACGTGCTATTCTATTAGGCAATTTTTTACGGTCCTCCCGTAGTAATCACAAACCCGCTATAGCAGTGATGGTAAATGACCAGGTCATTTGCTGACCTAGGTCATTAGTCATTAGGTCATTTGTCATGTGATTTATTTCAACAAATATAATTTCAGTGAGTCATTTTTATTCATTTTGATAATGACGTCACAAAGTTCAATTTTAATTTTATTGGATAAAAGAAGATTGTGAAGTCCCTTGACTTTTGAAATGACCATTCGACCTTTTAAATGACCAGTCATTGGTCATTTGTCATCGAAGTCATTTGGGTCCTTTAAAGTCATTTACCATCACTGCCGCCATAGTCACATGAAATGCTTGACTCGATGATGTGACTATTGCGGGTATACAGTACATATCGATATAAAATATTGATATTAAGAGGCAGAAATCAATTTCTAAATTCTAAACTATTTCTTTTTACCCTTATTTTTAAGGCAAATATGATCAAAAATAGGATTTTTTTTTAAAAATTCAAGGCAAACTATACTATTGTGTGGTAGGATTTCCTTTTTCAGCCGCTTTTCCATAGCTATCTCGATATGTATTGACGTATCGATACTATATTGATAGCAAAGCTCAACAAAAAATCTACCAAATATATTATTCGCTTTGTTTCTGCGTTATTATAAGTACGAATGCGTTCCTGACTGGATTTGATGTTGTTGTTGGTTATTTCCTTAATTTGATGTCGTTGTTGGTAATAATCAATAATAGGGAAGCTATTATTTCTTGCATGATTCTCAGAACAGAACCAAGGCTCCATCAAGCAATGCTCGGAAGAAATATTTCCGTGCACCATTTTCATCTCTATTCACAATTCTGGCAACTGTATACTTCAGACCATCCGATTTCCACACCAATTGCAAGTTTCTGACGTATAAGTCTCATTTTGTACAATAACTCGGACTCGGCCTTGGGATTAGACGTTGGCTAAATCAATAGTGCGCCCAGCACAGCATCCTTTCGTGTGATTTTTTTCGTCTTACGATTCATCATGTCGGATAGGAAGTGACAAATATTAGCTAATATTCATTTTATTATGGGACTCCTCACCCTCCTGAGATTTCACTTAACACCTGATATTTGGCCATCCCCCTTAGTATATTAGTTAATATTTGTCACTCCTCATACCTCAAAAGAAAGAATGATAATAGCATCGAATTCGCGAGTGAAGAATCTGATCGCCTTTCTACGAACTTCATTTTGCAGTCGCACAATATCTCGTCATATCCGAGAGACTGTCTTTTCGCTTTTCTTTGCTTACGCTTGGGGGTTGATTGTGCAAGCTTATCTTCGTGAAATTAAGTTGTCAAACGATGCGTCCAATATCATATTCACCAATCTTGCCCTCTCCTTTTGTGAGATCAATTGAGACTGCATGAATAGAGCCATCCGCTTGGGTTTCGTGGATTTGTCTCGTAGACCCAGGCAAATATCCACTCATTGGTTTGGCGAGAGTAGAGATGTGACCTGGTCATTTGTTGTTGCGCCTCTTTTTTTCGAAATAAAGAGGCCACAAGATGCGTTCGTTTTCGTTCGGCTTGCAGGACTTTAAACGATGCGAAGTAGTGCGAAGGAGTGAAACGTAGAAACGATTCCAAATAGAGTTAGGAAATTTCTGCGCGCGAATAGTCCATGCATTCTGCAAATGAAGATGGTGTTGATGGCAAAAAGATCCTAGGTAAGTTCATGCTTGTTGAGATCGCATTATTGAAGAGAACAATGAGTTTTATAGCATGGAGGAAGGAGGCATGTTGGAGGTCAAAGAAGAAGCTGTAGAGTCATTCATGGTGGGTGACCATAATTGCTGAGATAGTGATGCAGCTTGCTTGTTAAAAGATGGGTTTAAATTTTTTGTGCTTGAAGTTGGCGCTTGTACTGATATTATTGTGGAGTTTATAGGTTGGAAATCAGAAGTGTCGTTTTTTTGCTTGGAACTGAAAATCTAAGTGTAAAGGTAACCTTTATATTGGGGCAGGTGGTAAAAACATCGAAAAGCGATTTTCTTTCGTGATCTGCTAAAAGCAGAAGTCACATTTGGTCTCTTTTATAGCTATTTTTTTGCGAGCAGTGTTTGTTATCTATCACTATATTGAAAATTTGTACAGTTACAGTATTTCTGTTCTCTGTGGTTGTAATGGAGCACTCCAGATCCTATTAAAACATAACCCACTCCGGAATGGGTTGTGTTTTTGATTTGATGTAAAGTTTTTCTTTCCTTGTGAAGAAAGCGCTGACAAATATAATAATTTTGATCAGTTAAAGCCAAAGAAATAAACAGAAAAATTTGGAGCTTAAAATTACACACCCCTACAACAAGGCTGTATTTTAGACAATTAGACAGCGTGAGAAAAATATTTGAAATAAGAATATGCAAAATCTTAGTTTATAACAATTTGTCTAAAAATATCGTGGATCCTTATATCAATTAAATAAAGATATTGAAATGCTTTAGATTTTGCATTACTTTCTTCCTTTATATTTTAGACAACTTGTCTAAAACTTACAATTTTCTAAAAGACAGCCTTGCCTACAGTATATTACCGGAATTTCAAAAATGAATCTGTCACTTTGGAACCCGATATCTCAACATCCAGTGATCCCATTCGCACAGTCGAGACGAATCTAATGGTGATATCTTTATTCGAATGGGATCACTGGATGTTGAGATATCGGGTTCCAAAGTGACAAATTCATTTTTGAAATTTCCGGTAATATACTGTATGAGTGTGTGTACATAAAGAGTTACGATCGCAGAAAATATAAAGAATTAAAATAAACGTCTCGTGTACTCGCTTTCTGTGCTTTTACTTTGACCCCTATTGTCTATCTCAACACGAGCAAGATTATCAACATCGTGAGAATAAAACGAAACAACGCATATCGGATGATTTTTTATAAAATAAACCAAGTCTATGTTGTAAAAATCTATTTGTACCAACGAGAAAACATTTTTTGGGCTTGGATATAACAAATCGAGTTTCGGCGAGTTGGTATGCACTGCGTGTCCTTGATCAAAAGAACGTGAATTTTCTTTACGAATACAATTATTACGATTAGATGGCGTTATTGGATAAATATTCAAGTTTATTGAAAGAGAATCTAACATTCGTAGAAATTCAAGCAAACAAAAATTATCGTGGGTGATTTGCTGGAAGGAGGATATTATATTAAAACTGAATTCATAATGTTGCATCATTAATAAGAATTACAAGGTTGTCTAAAATTGTGCCAAATTTTCGAAATTTAGTTCCTTTAGGCTAAAATGCTTTTGGTATTCTGAAGGAAGAAGCTCCAACGTCGTTGTAATCATGAATCAATAACTATATAATTACCTTCGTTTTGTAGTTGTTTTACGGCAGAGACTGGATTTTTGTTGTAGCTATAGCTTTACTGTTAATGAAACCATTTGCACGGAGATAATTCCGCATGTCTTGAAACATTTATTACTGACACATGTATTCGATTACGTGAGTTTTGGTTCATTTGTCATATTTTTTCCCAGAGAATCTGAGTGTGTTATGCACTAAAAAGTTTAAATTAAATGCATCCAGGTTCATCAATAAGAAAAAAGAATATTTCGATTCGCCCGAAATATCACAAAAAAAGACGAAAAAACTAATAGAATTTAGAATTGATTTATAAAGCAAGGTTTGTTGGTGTTTATTGGTGCTGAATTGAGATCGTTATTTTAGTTATAAGACCAGAATAAAGATGTCAAGTGGATTTTGTCAATATTTTATTTTAAGGTGATTCGATCGCGAAGTCTCCGCGGTCCGCAAAAGGCCAAAAAGTACTTATCCAACTTGGTTGCATAAATACATACGTATATAATATCACAGGTATTTTAATTTAATGTACAATTGTTGCTAAAGCATAGACTATAAATAGGACACTCGTCAGATATGGAGTTCCATTGACGGCCATTTGTGAATTGAATGGGAATATTAATATTGAAAATGTCCAGAGTGTAAAGATTATATTGGGGGAAAGTTTAGTGTTTTGGAGTGGGAGCGAAGGTTTTCGTACCTGTATTAGTAATAGTCAGGCTTATCGCCGATGTAATAATTGTGAATGTAAGTTCTTTTAACGTTAAGGGAATGAGCTGCTTTTATTTCTATGGCTTAGTTATAACAGAACTTGAAAGCAATACCTAAAGAATCTATCCAGAAAGCTGACATTCACGCACATCAATGTGATCTCTTAATAACTCTTGGCACTTAAAGGCCTTCTTACACATATTCCCCATCAATCAATACACAAAAACTCCACAAGACACTAATCCCACCGCTCTACACATTCTACCTTTGATCTCAAAAATACTTCAACATTTCTGATCTTTGCCGAATCCGAGTCCGCGAAAGTTGGATGTAATTAAGAAACTGGAATGGAATTACGTAAATGGTCGGTTAAGAAGTTGAATGAAGTATTGAGGGAGCGTGGTATTGGTTTATATGTTACTGTTTGATAAAATGAATGAGTTGGTTGAGATTATATTGCAGCAGTATTGTGTATTGGGTTTAAGTATAAAAATGAGCAATTTAATACATGTATTTGTTGTCATGTTACTGTATATTGAAATACTACGTATACGTAGATACCGGAAATAAGCACCATTTCAATCCAAGGTAAAACAATGAACAACAGAATAAGCACCACTAAATTTAAATTACAAATTTATATCTAAAATCACTTTAAACGACGATAATTTTAAATTGTCCAGAAACGAGTACGACCCCTCCCGTTTTTTAGAACCAAACAAGTGGTGCTTACGGCAGTTTACGGTAATTATACTTAACGTTAATACTTTTTTAATAAAGCTAGAATTACTAATTAGCGTTAATATCTGTGAAAGAAAAGAATACCATTCCCATTATTGCAAAAATGGCAAGTCGAAGAACACCAGTTAGCCAATTCGATTTTCCCTAAAAAAAAAAACAAATAGTTAAAGTCAAGCTCGAAAAATGTTAAAAGTAATTAAAAGAATAAAAAAATCAAGAACCTGAACCAATATGCTTGTCAAATACACCGAAAGAAATAACGCAATAGTTTCGACAAGATTGAATGCCAGTGTCATTGGTTTACCGATGATCCAACCGAGAATTACAAGAAACGGCGCAATAAATAAAGAAATTTGCTATTAACAGACAGATTTTAACGCAACCATTAATTTTACGTACGAAAACTACTGCAGTATACCAAAATAAAAATGCTTACTACACAAGTATCTGATACTTCGCAAATAGCTTCCGGAAATTTCTGTTTACCAAAATAACATTCTTTCACCGAATGGATCTTCGTCAAAAAAGAAGTTCGTAAATAGAATAATTTACTAATGATGAACTACTCTTTAATGTCAATATCACCTCTGGTACTTTTGCCACTATCGGAAGCAGAAATAACCCAATGAAAGATCGACTCATCACTGAAACCTTAACAAGCCCTTCGATTGAATTCACCAACATGTCAGCAGAAAGTCCTGACAAGACAACCAAAATTATTAAGAATAAGAAAACTAAGGGCAGCGAAAATGGCTTATTATTTTGTTTCTTGGGTTGCTCGTAAATTTTAATGTATAGATATCGATGTGTTTTTAACTAATAAAATACAATTTAAATTTCAAGTTGGATTAGAAGCAGAAAGCAAAATATATGGCTGATGAAATACCTTAAATATCAAATAAAAAACATAAATCAAAGGCATCAACAATGCCGCGCACCGACTAAACTTCAATATCGTGGCAGAATTCGAGTTGTGCATTAATGCACCAAACACGACTAACAACGATGAAGATAATGTCATCAAACTAGCATCTACTTTTGCGGTGGTGTCTGGATATGGAAGATCTCGAACTTTGATTCCAAATATTAGACATTTTAATCCGAGAATCAGCAAAAGGCTAGAGATTATTGAGCCGAATAAATAGGAGTGCACCATTCCTATTTCTCCTTGTTTTAAAGTTATAGTGGCGAGTATAAAGTCCACGGAATTTCCAAATGTCACATGAAAGAAACCGCCGAGAGTCTAAGAAATAACTATTCGAGAGAATATTTTAATTTAAAAAAATAAATAACGTAAAAAATCTACCTGTCCAATTTCTTTTGATACAGAATCCGCCACTTTATCCACCGTATGCGAAAGTGGCAAAAGCGCGAGAAAATTGAAAACAAAAGTAAAAGTATCTCCCCAATTCAAATATTTCGATAATATTCCAAAGGGCAATAAGAGCAAAAGAAAATTTATTCCTATTCCTATTTTATGAAGAAGTATTTCTGTTTTTGTTTTTTCTTCCGTCTCTTTCTTTGTTTCTAATTGATTCTGCTCTAATGATGATGCATCATTTAGTTGTGGTGGAAATTTGTCGTTTATCGTTACTTCTGTTAATTGTATCTGGATATCAACATTTGGATTAAAATCTGATTTTTGGGTCTTTATTTCTTTGGTGGATAAATCTACGTCATCTATTATTATTATTGATTCTGATTCCGTTTTATCCAAATCTGCCATGTTTGATGTATTTTTCGTTCTTTAGTACACATATCATTCTCGTTATCGTTATGTTTACACTGTGATTGATCACAAGACTTGCAATATCTTCGATGGTGTACATCTGAGCGTACAGTGTACGTACACACCAAAAAGATACGAAATACATGTAACTGTGTGTGCATTAAATTGTAGGCCAAAATACATGTACATATACCGATACCGATACTGTACTTGATATACATGTGAATATCACAGGGTGCCAAGAACTCGATAATACATGTAATATGTGCTTAAGACTTGTATATATTTATATTTTAAAGATATATTAGTAATTTCACCATCACAATACCCCAATACCCCAATTCGCCAAAATACCCCCTTTTACCTTATAAAATTGCTAATTTATTTTTGTTATTTATTATTTCAGTAGTGTTTACAATTTGAGTTTTAATTTAGTTGCAAACGAATAAATAATTCACTTGCGAATACAAAAATTTTTTGTGCTATGCGCAACCAACGTACTTGCGGAAATAAACAGCGCACAGTAAAGCTCGATAAACCGGATGGCCGGTCAATTAGAGCTAAAATTCCTAAAATCGAGTGAAATTTATCATACAGTGCAGACAACCCGACAATATTGTTTATATTAAGATTACTTATTCTTATCTTAATACTAACAAACTACGTAGTAGTAGTTTTTATTGGCGCTCTTTAGGCTGTCTGCACTGTAAACTATTTTACACTTCAATCCGGTTTATCGAGAGTCCGGCTTATCGAATTTCACTATATATCGATATGTATATATTAGTCTTGACACCATTTAAAGATCAATTACGAGATTTTTATTTATTAAGATTTTTTAACCGAACAATAATACACGCAAGTAAATTGAATATCTAACTTACGAAACCTGCGCAAATCAAAATTTACGTGTGCACATATAAGATTAGATTCAAAATTAATGATATTGATTTAGTACTTGGTTAATCAAGAACAATAGAAAAGTGGAAATCTAATATTTAGTTAAAAAAAAACTTTTTATTGGCTTATATGATAAAATATTGCCTTAGAAAAAATTTTTTATTGGCTTATGTGATAAAATATAATTATTGAGATATCATCCTTTAAGATTATTTGTTAGATCTAAATTCTAGATTTTCCGAAAAGTGCCCATAAAATCATTTGCAAAGACTTACGTAATAAAGTGATTTGATAAGGCATAGGTGCGCCAAGTCTAGTCAATTTAAACATGTTTTTCACTTTTAAAGGATAGAACTCATTAATAAAGACTTATTTTAAAAAATCTCTATCGCTATTTGTTTGTAAATTCAGATAAGATAAAAAACAAACAAACATTTTTTTTATAATAGGTACATGTATTTATTAATGAATTCTATTCTATGAAAGTCGAAAAACATGTTTAATTTGAGCGGACTTGGCGTACCTATGCTTTATCAAGTTGCTTTATTAGTCTTTGAAAAATGATTTATCTCTTTGTTCTACTAAACAAGAAGAAATTGATAACTAGCGCTAGATATACAAGTACATGTAATTACGTATGCACAATTTTCCGTTCTAGGATACATGTTAATCAGTAAAAATTTTTCCGGGACCCTACAGACACTTTCAATGCATGCATATACGTACATGTACGTGTACGTACATGATTTAGTAATGTCTCAATTCAAATTAGAATAGGAATAATTTTTTGAAAAAAGAACGAAAGCTAAGCAGCCATTTTATGCATCTACAGAATTATATTGCGATTACGCAGAATTTTACTATGTCAACGTGTTTTCATCTGTTAAGAAAAAATGTTCAGCGTAGAATTTTTCATTATGTATTGTTTGGAAAAGTAAAAAATAGATATCTGATATGAGAGACAAAGGTTACTAATGTTTTTAGCATATTAACCCCGTATTTAAACCTGAATTGACATGGAAGAATACTTCATGTCTTAATTTTTTGAGAACATAATGCCTTACTTAGAGGCATTTCAGGTGAATAGTTATTTATTAAAATATTCTTTTTTAGAAAAAACTCACCGCCATGACTTTAGCCATACATTTATCGAGTTACATGTACGTATTTGTTACAGTATTGTTTGAATTTGAAATTATTGTTATGCATGTACATGTATATAATTTGTATTACTTTCCATAGACGGTTACCCCTGATCTTTGAATTTTTAAAAACGTACTTTGTATAAAACAATGGAATGGCATATCGATATTACAAGATTCCTATTTGAACATAACGATAAAACGGTTTACGTGAATTTTCGTAGCTACTTAATTAGTATTTCAATATAAATTACTACTTAACGTTAATACAAATTAAAATAAGATAAAGAAGCGATGATCGGTGCAAATGCACTTTATATTAAACTTTTCAGAAGTTGATGCCTAACATAATGAATGGGATATCGTCGCAATATCAAGGTTCTCGATCCTTTTTCGGGATTCCCTTTTTGAATTTATGTTTAATAGATGAAATACAGCATGTGGAAAAGTGTAAGAAAGAAGGTTATATAAAGAAGGACGTTTTTTTCTTTTTGCAGTCGTATATTTTTAATATATGATTATATTTTTCGGTCTTTATTATGATATTACCTTTTTCAGGATGCCACAAATAAAGATATTCCTAAAAGCAAAAACATTAGTTTACTTCCTTTTGATTTTCTCAAACTTACATTTCCACGTAACATTTGTAAATGCATTACCAAAAATCTCATCGAAAATTATAAGAATACAAAATAATAGAATCGACGACAACAATAATAATAATATTTTGCACGCGCCAAATTCTGTTTTTACTTGGTTCTATCCACGAACCTGCGATTCGGAAGAATTGTGCATGGCGTTTCCGTATGGAAAAGAAAAAATTCGAGGAGTTAATTTGGGTGGTTGGTAAGTTTCGAGAATTATGATTCATTATATCAAAGGATATTTTATTTAATGTTTATTTAATCATGGGTTAAAAAAAAAATAAAATATTTATAGGTTGGTGCTCGAACCTTGTAAGTAAATTTATTATTTTTAGAGGATTGAATTTTTAGATACAAGGTTTATATTATATTCTTATATAGGGATAAAGCCAAGCTTATTCGACCAATTCCTAAATTCTTCGGAACCGGCGGTTGACGAATGGACCTTTACACAATATCTCGGCCAAAAAGAAGCAAAACGACAATTAACAGAACATTGGGAAACTTGGGTTACCGAAAAAGATATCGCACGATTATCCACATACCGTATCAATCATCTTCGTATCCCAATCGGATACTGGGCATTTGACGTGTTACCATCTGAACCATGGGTGACGGGTGCCTTTGATTATTTATTGAAAGCAATTACTTGGGCTCAGACTTATAATCTTAAAGTGGAACTTGATTTGCATGGTGGACCTGGGTCTCAGGTTTATTTTTTTTCAAAAATTGATATGGATTATTTATGTTCATGTTATTATGTTGTTCTACTCATTTTATTGTATATGATAGAATGGATTCGATAATAGTGGTAAACGAGGTGTTGTTGAGTGGCAAACTAACAAGCAAAATATTCCGCGTACACTTAAAGTTCTTCAGATTCTTTGCATGAATACTTCTAATTATCAAAACACCATTTCTGCTATCAATATTCTAAATGAGCCTGCCAGGTATTTAATGCGTATATCATTCCCAATAGATTGACATTTATCTTTAAACATTTATAATATCTAAAAATAAAGTTGGGGAGGCAACGATATCAACATCACCAAACAATTCTACAAAGATGCTTACGAAATCGTACGACAATACCATCCAAATGCATTGTTTGTAATACACGATGCCTTCTTACCGCTATCTACTTGGCAAGGATTCATGCAAGAAGCGCCATACAAAGGAGTCGCATTAGACACACACATCTATTTTGTATTTATAAGGGAGCTTTTAGCGAGTAGTAATCAAGAAAAATTGGAATCCTTACGCGAAACGAAATCGAAGCTTGCAAATTTCACGTCACCGATTATGGTTGGAGAGTGGTAGATATTTTTTCAAATGTAAATTCTGCTGCTTTTGATGCTGTATTTAATTTATAAACAACAAAAGGTCCCTCGCTACAACCGATTGCGCAAAATGGTTAAATGGGTTTAACGTCGGTGCTCGCTGGGACGGAACATTCAATAAGGATCCGCCCATTTTCAAGAATGCTACGTGTAAAAATGACACAAATTATTTATTGTGGTCTCCTGAATACAAACAATTCCTTTTGGAGTTTGCTAAAACACAAAAGGATGCCTATGAAGCTGGGTAAGTTTATTGATTTGCTATGAATCCAAATTTATGTTTAGTTTATCTTCTTCAATTTGTTGATAGAATCGGATGGTTCTTTTGGAACTTCAAGACGGAAAATGCACCGCAGTGGAATTATATGTTAGGAGTTGAACAGGGTTGGATTCCGTTGTAAGCTTTCGTTCTTTATAAAAGCGGTTTTTGTTCGCATGAGTCGATTCCGTGAGCTATTGACTCTTTCCATTGATTTGATTTTTGGATTGCATGTATTATCAGACATTGTAAATTATGTATTTCAAAAAATTACGCAGAATATAGATTTTGGCATAACATCTGACTTATTTTAATTGCAAGAAATACTAAAATAAAGAAAATATTTATTCGAAAAAAGAAGTTTGAGTTTTGCTGTGCTCTAAATCTTTGCCTAAGAATATTATAAATTAGGAACTTGTCTAAAAATATCAGACTTGATCAAAGTCACTAGTGTCATAAGCTGATGGCAAAAGCAACTTTCAAGACTATAAAAACATAGAACACTTGAAGAATAGAAACAATGGAATCCTTGGTGGTTTTAACAAACATATAAAGTAAACAAAGATTTGATTTCAGTATTGATTACTTTACTTCTATATGCTTTTGAACTATTGATTAACGCTAAACTCTTTTTAGGTTTTACTCCTTAAAATTAGGCTATTTCCTAACGCTAATACGAATCTGTCTAGGGACGAAAAATGGCATAGGATTGCAGAGCTGGACAATACAACGTTTTCATGAAAACCCGTTTCCTAACGCTATAGTATATCAATAAAATTAGTTTATACTGTACATAAAAAGATATTTACGCGCGGCGCGAAATATAAATTTCATTATAAATGACTCGTGATTGTCCACCGAAAGATTTTCGATCGCTTCTATTGTTCTATTTGCTTATGTTGCGCCATTAGTGATCGAGCAACGCGATTATTCAAATTGTAAAGCCAAAGTAGAAAACGTCGGACGTGGTGACACCGGTAAATGGAACGTCGGATAAGAAACTCGGGAATTGATAATGGCAACAGTATCGGAAGTTATTATGGTGAGCTTTATTGTTTGAATGATTATTATAAGGATTCAGAAACGGTAATTCAACGATGGATATTTGAATGGAAATGCCAACGGTCCCGTGTTTTAATTGGACACCTTATAAAAGATTTCGCATTCTTATTTATTTTTCCCTTAAATTAGAAATCTTGTATTCAGAAAGTTTAATGAGACTTGTTATCGTGTACAATACAGTGGCCGTCAAATGTTTTGCATCACACAAAAAATAAAATTGTAAATTCAATAACATTACATACAACTCACAAATTCCAACGCATATTGTTTACCAAATTTTGCAAAACATTTAAATATAATTCTTTATTTAGTTACGTACTAATCACTAAATTGAAATAATAATGATCAATGCAATTTTACATGATGCGTTTTTTTTTACTGTTTACGATGCAAGTAATTTAATAATGATATTTTAAATAACTAACGACTAAAAATTTACGAACTTTAACTATCCCTTACCACTCTGTATACCCTCCTTTAGCCTCAATTACATCATTTATTCGTTCGGGCATACTTTCAATTAGACTAGTTAAAAAGTTATGTTCTGTTTCTATCCATATTTTTGAATAGCTTCCCATAACTCATCTTGAGTACGAACTGGATTTTCTAACCTTCTCAACGTATATCTATCTCATTCCAGAGATCTTCTATAGGATTGAGGTTGGGAGATTGTGGTGACCATTCTAATACCTCAATATCATTATCGTAAAATCATTGCTCCGTTAAATTAGCAATGTACTTCAGATCGTTATCCTGTTGGAAAACGATATTATTCTTATCCAACTCGTAATGCTCGATATTTCCTAACAAGTCATCATTCAAAATTTCGCAGTATAATTCCTTATCCATGGTACCAAAAATGCGTACGATGTTACTAACGCCGAAGGAAGAAAAGCAACCCCAGACCATAATACTTTCGCCACCAAATTTGACCATAGGTTAGGTTTTACATGACGATCAGCATCTAGTGGTTCATTTTTGCGTTTCCAACAATATTCACGACCGTCTGACCCATATATCATAAACTTAGACTCATCT